ATGGGGGGGAGCTGAGCAGCGGGGCTGGGACCGGGACCTTCTGGTGGGCTCACTGTCATGGGCAGCCCGTGCTGGTGAGCACCATGCCACGTGCAGGCTGGTGAGGAGGAAATCCTGCCCTTGCCGCTCTCTGTCTGCGTTGCTGCTGCTTGGTAGCCATCGTTTAAAACTCCTGCAGCTGCTCATGCTGCACAGCAGCCAAGTGGGGCTGGAGCCTGGCTCTGGCTGGGGACCTTCCGTACCTCTGGGGTCAATGCAGTGAGGAGGAAAGCCCAGCAACAAGGGGTCTGACTCCTGGCAGGCTGTGCTGCTGCCGGCATCAGGTAGGCTGGAGGTGACCAGGACCTTCAGCCCAGCTCCTCCTTGCCCCTGCCGCAGCTGAGCTGTGCGGTTACACCGTGCTTGCTCAAAGCATGGAGAGGGAGGCACGTCCTGGGCACTGCCTGGCTCCCAGCGTGGGCAGGGATGTTTGTGGGGTCCCTGCAAAGGGCTGCGTGTGGGGAGCTGGTCCCCAGGGAGGTTTTGTCAAGTGTGTGCTGATCATCCCTGGCTCTCCTGCAGACAGAGTGAACTGATCGGCTGCATGAGCTTTGGCGTGAAGTCCCTCCTGACCCTGGACAAGGTACCTCCGTGCCGGAGCGCAGCGTGTGGGACTGGGCCCTGACTCAGGTCGGTGGGTGGATGTGGTGCACCCTTGGGGCAGGAGCAGGTTTCTCCCACTGTGGGACAAAGATGCTCTGAGGGTGCCCGGGGAGTTCCCTGGTCCCGTTCCCAGTATGGATGGCCACTGTGAGACACTTGGTGTGGTTGCTGGAGGCTGGGACGGGGAGGCTGTTGGAGGAGGGATCCTAGGACAGGGGACCATCGCTCCCTTCTGCAGGGACACAAAGAGAATCGTGGCAATTGGGGGTGCAGAGAGGTGGTCCAGCGGGTGCTGCCTGGGGGACAGGAGATGGGGCCAGCCTCTCCCAGCCTGCTGGCATGTGTTGCATCTGACACGTGTCCGGGTGGGTGCAATGGTGGGGACACGTTCCCCTGAGGAGGAGTCTGCCTGATTCCCTGCGCCCAGCAGCCACAGCTTCACCAGCTGAGGTGGAGGTGGGGAGAGGGCAAATGCAGAGGTCTCGGGCTGTTCCTGGAGGCAGCGGTGCTGCCAGATTGTCTCTGTGCCAGAATCCATGTCCCTGCTGCTGCAGATTTGGTCTCAGTACTGCTGCCCCAGCCTGGCTGCTGCTTGGTAATACAGCTTCACATCCCCTGGGTTTGCCTTCCTAAAGAAGCCTGTGAGGCTACTGCTGCAGATGACTCCTGCCGGTCCCTTAAAACACAGAATTGTTTCATCCGAGCTGCCAGTGGTTGGGGATTTCATCCCTGGACAGCCCTGGTCCGGTGTCAGCACATCGGAGTATCTCAGCAAGCTGGAAGGGGTTTATGAAAGTGTTGATACATCACCTGAGGTCTGGATATTTACTCCCTAGCAAGAGGTTTAAAAGGAGCTATTTGTGGCAATAAACTGAGAAGAGAGTAAGAGGTAGCTTGAGTGTGGCCTCCTCTGGAATTTGGACAAGATGCAGCTTTTTTTATAACAGTGAAGATAATTTGGTAGAACAGCTTTAAACTGCAGCCCTCCCCAGGAAGGGCCTCTGTGCTGGTCATGTTTGGCTTCCTCAAAGATGTCCCCTCCTTACCAGGTTTCGTCAGTGAGTTTCACAAGGTGTCATGGCATGCAGAGAGGAGGGAGTGTCCATGCGTAGAGCACCCCCACACAGCATCCTACTCTCACGTGGATGGGAGGAGGATGCTGAGGCATGTGGTCCAACTGGGACATCAGCTGGGGCTGAGATGAGCTGGCCCTGTTCCCAGGGCTCTGCATGATGCTGCTGTAATATCTCTCCCTCTCCGCAATTTCCTTATCATGGATTTTAAACGCTCATTTTTAAATGGACCCCTTCCTCTGGCCTCTGGGAACATGGTTCTTGCAACTCCATCTAACTCCTGGGCTTGGGCCAGGGTGGTTGGTCCCTCTGGCTGCTGCCAGAAGCCTGGGGAGCAATGGGAGACAGCGGTGGCTCCCTGGAAGAGAGGAGAGGGATTGCCAAGGTCAGCTCTGTCCTCTTGGCTGCCCTGACCATGTGAATACGGGAGCCCCACTGAGGAGCACCCAGCGCTGCAGAAGGCTGGGCATCCTCCTCTGGGGATGAGGCTGGAGCCATGTGCTCCATGTGACACTGCCGACTGCTGCAAACATGATATGGACAGTTTTACTGGAGACTGGCTGGTTTTCTGCACCTTGTCTCCTTCTAAAAACCTAGAAGCTTGTTACTTCAGTGATGCTTGGTCCCTTCTTGCAGAGGGGGATGGAATTTTAGCTGTTGCTGTATCCTAAGAGAAGGACTCCAGGCTGTGCCTCCGTGTGCGAGCGTGTCTGGGCAGCCTCTGCATACTGGCCTGGGGCAGCTCCTGCAATGAGACCTTTCCAGGGCTATGGGGAACCAGACTGCACAGACAGCTTCTTTCCTCCCACCCAGGAAATCAGCGGCTGGTACTATCTCCTTGGGGAGGACCTGGGCAGGACCAAGCACCTGAAGGTGGCCACACGTCGGCTGAAGCAGAGCAGAGGTGCGTCTCCACGCTGGGATGTCCCAGGGAGTGTTGGCAAGGTTTGGAAGAGCAGTCAACCTTGTGTCTGTGTCTGTGCCTGTGCTGGCATGGCGCAGCCCCCAGCCCCACGGTGCCTATGCCCCCACGAGCACTTCTCAGCCCTCTGATGCTCAGTGGGCACCGGGATCCCAAAAGAGTGGCATGGGGGAGATGCTGGCTGGTTCAGTCTGCTCTGCACAGGCACCGAGCTCTCCCCTTCAATCCTCACTCCTGCTTACCTGTGGCTGTCTGGGGCTCTGTGGTGACCCCAACATTGCAGCCACATCTCTCCCTCTTGCTCAGCCTTTCACTGGGCTGATTCCTGCCTCTCTGGCTGGGGCTGATCCCATGGCCAGACTCTGTTTGGTTCCTGGGGTCCGTGCAGGATGGTGGGCAGCCCTTTCTGCTGCCTTGGTCTTGCTGTGCTGTCAGGGCACGTGGAGGACAACAGGCTGGCACAGGGCAGGGTGAGACAGCAGTGCCTGTCCCAGATGTGCAGCCACCCCACAGGTGCTGCCATGCAGGGCTGCCCCAGCTGGGGGGAGCTGTGCTCATGATATGTAATGATCTTGTATATAGGGTGTAGATGTTGTATGGGGGGAGAGGGGTTGTCAGGGGACGTGTGCTGTTGGGCTGATATGGCCTGACCTTTTTTGAATTATTTTATTTTTTTAAGAGTCGATGCTGGGAAGTCAGGGTGCATCACAGGACAGTCAGGATGCTGCGACCATGAAGCAGCTGAAGGTAGGTATGACAGGGATATGACCCATCAGCGGTGTGAAGATGTGGGGTCGGGAGCTGGCTGGCAGCAGAGCCTGCATGGAGGGGTTTCAGGGGCCCAGGGGCAGAATATGGGTGAGGGTGATGCTGAGGTGGGAGCTGTGTCAGTCTCCCTATCGACACCTGGCCTTTTATAGTTAATTAGTTATCCTGATCGAGCACCGATTGGTGGAAGTGGGTGGTGTGGGTAGTAACCCCACACTCACTCCCCATTGCCATACAGGGACCTCCTGTTTTTCCAGTGTGGTGCCACAGAGACAAAGGACCAGCCATTGACGGGGAGCGCTGGGGATGGGGCTGCCGGCTGCCTGCCACACGACATCAGTCCCTGGCCGTCCCCATGGATGGGTGCGCCTGCTCCCCTCCTCCTTTCAGGGCCGTTTGCTCTGGGAAGGGAAAGGCCCATGGTGGAGCCTCGGTGATTTATAGGGAAGGCAAGGATGGGAAATGGGAACACAAACACGCGGCCTGCATCGGAAATTGGGCTCAGCCGGCCCTGTGATTTATCTGTGCTGAATTCCGCTTTGCTGCTTCCCTCAGCTGCATTTTCAGTTATTTGTTTTAAAGCGTAGTATTGAGCAAGACAAACAAAGCCAGCACCTCTCTCCTCCCTTCCTCTCCGGCAGTCGCCACTGACTTGAAAGATGGTGGCTGGGAAGGAAGACTGATCCTCCTTCCAGCTCCAGCCCTGCGGTGCGGCCGGC